CATCTATACAAGGAATTTTCTTGATTTAGAACAAGAACCTGGCATTTGCTGTTCTTTAGTGATCAAAAAGTGGGGAATTTCAGGCGAGGATAGAGAAGAACCATGAGGTTTTAGATATTGGATGCGGATGGGGAACTTTGGCCATAGAAGCTGTGAGAAGAACTGGATGCAAATATACTGGTATTACGCTATCTATTGAACAACTTAAGTATGCAGAAGAAAAAGTAAAACAAACTGGACTTCAGGTTTGCATAATCCATCTCTGTTTCTGATCTCCAATGCCAAGACTAACGATTTAACTTCTTAATGACAGGACCGGATTACGTTTAAGCTCTGCGATTATCGCCAACTATCTGATGCTCAAAAATATGACAGAATTATATCTTGGTAATATCTCTCTTGTATATAATATATGTCTTATGAGTCTTTTTTTTTTTTTTTTGACAATATATGTCTTATGAGTCTATGACATAACAGTTTGGATGTTTCAGCGAGATGCTAGAACATGTTGGCCACAAATTCATGGAGACATTTTTCAGTCACTGTGAAGCTGCGCTTGCGGAAGACGGCATTTTTGTCTTGCAGGTAACATTTGCATGTATCTCCAATTTCATGTTTGCACAACCATTGATAGTGGTTAACGTTTAACAATAATAACAGTTTATATCGATACCCGAAGAACGTTACAATGAGTACAGACTAAATTCAGATTTCATAAAAGAATACATATTCCCAGGTGGATGCCTTCCTTCTTTAGCCAGAGTTACTTCAGCCATGTCCTCTTCTTCTAGGCTATGGTAAAGTCTTCTCTTTATCAAAGTTTAGCTTCAAATGCAATTTTCCGGCTTTATCTTCCTCTGATGTCCGACCTATCTAACACCGGAAAAAAAACACAGCATTGAAAATGTTGAGAACATTGGGATTCATTACTACCAAACGCTGAGATTGTGGAGGAAGAATTTCTTGGAGAGACAAAAGTAAGATCAAAATTAAAAACCTTTCCTCTGTTTTGTCTTTGGACTTTGTATGTATGTTTGTGCTCATGTCCCCAAAAAACTATTACTTGTGCAGACAAATCATCGATCTTGGATTCGACGATAAATTCATTAGGATATGGGAATATTATTTCGACTATTGTGCAGCTGGTTTCAAGACTCTTACCCTTGGAGACTACCAGGTGACACACACACACACACACATATACTCGAGCATTAACACATGCCTCTTGATTTGAATAACATATGCATTATTTATGCAACATTGCAGATATTTTTCTCACGTCCAGGGAATGTAGTTGCATTCGGTGATGATGATCCGTCCCGCAGCTCCTTTTCAACTCAGAAAAAACAACGTTAGATGAATCATTTCCAATCTGAAGTACTACTCACATTTCTTGTGTGTTTCCCGTAAAGTTTCATAATTTGCGATCGGTATCTGGACAGTTGAATTTCTGCTTTCATAATTGAGTATGTATTTCTGTACCAACAATCAGTTATTGTGCAATGGTTACTGCTATTCAAGATTGAGTACTATGATGTAACTCAAGATCTCTGTGACAGTGTTACATCTCGTGTACATAGCACTGCCATAAACTTTATCCAATTGATATTAAGCATGAATCAGAACTCGATTACGATGTTAAATACAAACATAGAAAGGT